AAAGGAAAAAGCTTCTCTGGTTAGTCTCGCCGCCGCTCCCCACCCCCTCATTCTGGAGTGAGGCAGGGCCTGGGCTGAAAGGAGGGTGAGAGGTGGCAGGCTGGTCCCAAATCACTGGGGCCCAGAGTTGTAATAATCGGCCTGACCACTATCCTAGCCCATTCTTGGAAGTGTTCTTCCTAAGCTCACAGGAGCCCTGGTTCCACCAGGCAAGGCCCATACATGGCTGCCTCCTTACTCCTGGTTCTGCCATGCCCCCCAGCAAACACACACATACCAACAAGACAGCTCACTCAATACAACAGCCCTGGCAGCAGTTCTTATTGCTTATGCCCAGATGGGGACACTGCCCCTCAGGGAGCTAAGTGATGTTCCCAGGATCATACAGGCAAAAGGTAAGAGAACTGTCCCAAGTCTTCTGGAATTCAGTCCAGGACTCTTTCCTCTGTCATCCCTTGCCACTCTCCCCATCCATCCACTGGAACACAGGACAGGGAGAGCCCTGTGTTTTCTTCACCTGTAATTTCACAGGTGAGCACTTCAGTCCTCTCCAGGGGCAGTTCTGAATCCCCTGGTCCTTAGTGCCCCGGCCAGCATAGCCTCCTGCAGGTAGAGATAACCGAGCCTGGGCCACTTCAGCCCAGATTGGGGAACTCCTGAAGTAGGCCTGTGAGCAAAGGGTTTGATCTGGGACCCAGGTGGGCAGAGAGGTACTCTGGAGACTGAGGGCCCAGTCCTTGCCTAGCTCTGCTGCCAGCTCCCTCTTCCTGGAACTCAGAGCCTCCAGGTTGCAACCCAGTGGAGCCTAGAGTAGACAGCCCACCCCACCCCATCCTGCTCCAGAGTTTTGACAATGGGAACGAGTACTGGTCCTCCACACCATCCTCTTTCCAATGGCTATGCCTCCTTAGAACTTGCAACCAGTGTTCTCCCTTAAAAAGCAAACCCTCCCTCCTGAACCTCACTTTCCTATTCACAGACCTCTCAGGAGTCTGCTATTCTGGTTTCTTCCACCACATCACCTTCCGTCCCTCCCTATGGTCTCACTTCAGGCTGTACTCACCATGTACTAGTAGATGTTTCTCAGACTCCAGCAAAGAATCCTCAGTCTTGACTGATCTGCAGCCTCCTCTGTCACAGCAGGTGGGTATTCCCCTAGCTTTCAAATCTTCTAATTTTCCTCCTTCCTCTTTGGGCTGCATTTCTGGCTAGTGTTCTTCAGGACCTCCCCCTGGGACACCCTACCCCCTCTCACCTGTCCATTTTTGAATCTTTAGCCTTGACTCTCTGTTGAACTCAAAACTATAGATCCAGCTGCCCTCAGACTCTCCCTGGATGTTCTACAGGAACATCATGCCCAACTTGTTCCAGACAGAGCAAGCACTTCACCTCCTCTAGGCCCTGTCTCAGCAGGAAGCCTCTCCTTTAATCCAACTGAAAAAGACAAACTCTGGGGTCCTCTCTCACCTCACTCCTTATCCAGTGTCACCAGGCCTGTTATTCTTTGTCCGAAACAGCTCTGTGTTTGTCCCTTCATCTCTGCTGCCACTGCCCCAGCCTGGGCCACTGTCTC